ATCAAGTGCATCTTCTGCTAATTCCAAGCCTAAACAATTCCATCTACGCTCCTCCAACTTACTTGAAGAGTCCTCTAAGTTATCATTATTAGAATCCATATCTCATCATTTATATGGACCAACTTTGTAATTCTTACAAAATCATGGCAGGAGACGAATATTTGAATGGATGAATACTAACTTATCCGCCTTTCCACTGCTCAATCTATTCCTTTTCACACTATGTATGTAGGAATAAGTACTCTAATTTCTCTCAGCTGAAGAGCTACTAATAGTCCAGGACAAAATCTTCTTAGCAACATCAGTTAAAGAATAATCTAGAATTAATTATTAACTTTGGATAACTTCCACTTAGTGAAAAAATACTTTCAATATATTATCAAAACATATCCAAGTGCACGTGCATGAAAACAGACTTGTAAATCAACTTTGGCCCCCTCATACTTAGTAAGCAGTACGCTAATTTTGGGGAACCAATTCATGTACTGGAGGGAATCGGTTTGTAAATGTACCCGGGAGTCGCTCGCATGAACTGTTCGACGGTTCGAGGAGGAGACCAGGGAATTGCGCATCTATGACAACAACAGATAAAACAAATTATTTATCCCAAAAAAACATAAGCCTGGACCGCCTGGTCATTTATAGACACCACTCCTTACTCGAGAATCAGAGCATGCAGCCGTCCCATCAAGGAAAAGAAGTCACTGTGCATTTTCAGTTCAGTTGTTTTTACAAGCCAACTGTTTTAAACCATTATGCAGATGTGCATATAAATTTCATGTTATTGTTTTGCTAAGAAGCCATTAAGGCCTCTTTTTGCTAAGTAGCTCTACTATATACAACTACACAGATTTGATGAGAGGTTGTGGAATCACAGACAGCACATTACCTGCATACTAGTTGAATGGAAATAGGTTATAGTCCAACTTTCTTCAGTTTAATCTGCTTTCCCTCACCCTCAACCCTTGCAATAATGAGTCATCGTTTATTTTGGTTGATCAAGGGAATGAGTGATTCAAGTGTTTGTTCAAGCCCATCTGGTCAGGTAAGTCTGAGCAAATGATATTAAAATATAATGACTCGAGTATTGCTCTTTGAGAATGAGCTTTTTTTGGGTACTTCAGCTTTCTCTATTCTTAGATTCGAAAGTAATTGCATATAGCAAATCATTCATCTAGCCCCTTATAACCTCACTTTTAGTTTTAGTATTGAAAAATTTAGCGTCTTCCTATCTTTCATGAGTTAAAAGTGTGGAAAACAAAATTAGCAGCAACAAGATCTGTGCAAACACCTCGCATCCATAGTTTTCTCATAGTTTTCTCAGAAGGATTCACCTAAGGAAAGTGGATCAGGCTTATAGCTGATTGTAAATTTATTTTTTCGTGAAATCTAAACATAATGTGCCCAATGATGAAGCTGATGCAGCCACTTTCTTTACTTGTAAGTAGCTTGTATGCATTTCATAGATGGACTGCCTTTTATATTTAAAGGGTACCATTTCTAGCACAACTAAATCACCTCACAAATATGTACCTGTCATGCATGCAGGTTATGGTTTCTTATAAGCTCGGGCAGAAATTTAGAAGTTATCAGGTCATTTATAGTAACCATCAGGTGACTGCAAAAGTGGATATGTATCTCATTACCATCTGTAACATTAAAATTATGTTCATTTCTTATTATAGGTACAATTATAACAAGGTTTAACTCTTATTATATAGCTACAACAAGGTTTGTAATGTAAGGAAATAGACCTTAATTCAAGTTCGACAGTTTCTCATAAACTAATCACATACAGTTACATAGAATTTGGCAATCTGCACTTTACTTGCATATTGAATTGTTATCAATAAACCGTTCTCAGATCAACAATAAAAGCCGTAGTGCTCCATATCTGAGTTACATAACATCATGGTTTTAAATATCGGCCGATAATCCGATATTATCGCCAAGTTATTGGATTTGGGAGCTTTCCGTTAGGATAAGTAGAATTTTTAATCGGTTATCATTTTTTGCGGTTTATCGGCGATAAAGGCACTTATCGGCCGATAAGTAGGCTCTAAATATCGGCTTTATCGGCCGATAAGTAGGAATTGGGAGCTTTTACTTTCTTTTGGATTTGTTCTTTAAATGTTTACAAATTATGAACTATTTGATGCTTTTGGAACTTGGTTGATTAGTGATTAGCTTATGTTTGTTTATGGATATTGATAATGGTTCATAACTACTAAATATCAACTTAGTAAGTTAGTTTATAAATCTCATAATTAAACAATAATTATGTAGATGCGTAGATGGTTCTTCATTCTTGATGTTATCTTATTATTTTCTTGTTTATTATTCCATTTTGACTAACATTATATTTTTTTTCAAGCTTATGTTTGTTTATTATTTGCTAGTATATTACTCCAATAAATACTACTTATCCTCGATATATCCCCGATTTCCGCTATCCGATAAGGATTTTGACCGTCCGATAAATCCCCGATAACCGACATTTAAAACCTTGCATAACATTAGTATACACATGAAACTATCTTGCAGCTGATAGATTCAATAAACTAAATCTTTTAGGAAGAGAAGCTGAGTGTTGTGCTTGCAGTCTTAGAACATTTATCAAATGTGTATTGCCAACTTTAGGGCATGTGAGATCAAATGGAGATCTATCGACACTGAATATACGAGTAGATACATAGTTGCAAAAAGCTGGCAATAAAAAAATGCTTAACGAAAACAGGGCAACATAAAACTCACAAAAAAACAAAATAGTGTTTGGATACCAAGGCGATTTTTTTGTAGTGTTTTTTAGAAAAACACTATGTCAAGTAGTTTTTTTTAAGTGTTTCGAAAACACCATTGTTAGTTACTATTATTATACCGCATCGCTAGGTATGGGCGATTTGGTCTGCGGTGTCGGCCGACTGGCGGGGCGCGGTGCGCGCGTGCGAGGCCGAAGGGCTGCCGTTGCCCCGCAATGACGGCGGTAAGCGTGTGGCGTGGTCGCGACGCGTGCTGGCGCGAGGCTGCGCGCCTATGCTAGGCGACGACGACGCGGAGGCGGTCGCGGCGTGGCGGCGCCCAGCTGCCATACGGTGCGGCGGCGGGCACGGGCGGGGACGTCACGCGGGGCAGCGGCGACCGCGGTCCGCTAGCCGGCAGGCGGCGGCGACGGCGGCGGCGTCCGGCGCCCGGCCCGCGGTCTGCGGCGACGGCGGCACGGACCGGCGCGGAGCAGAGTGGGCGCGGCGGCGGGCTGAGCGAGACGCGGTCGTGGCGGCGCGAACGGCCGACGGGCCGCGGGCGAAGCGGCGGCCTGCGCGTGCTCACGTTGGGCGGGCCGGCTAGGGTGCGACGCGCCGGCAGATGCACGGGCGACAGCACGGCGCAGTCCGGCGGACGCGGTGAGTGGCAGCAGTGGCACGGAGCTGCGTGGTGGCGGCACCACTGACGGCGCGTATCGGTGTGGCGGCGGCCGACGCGGGCAACGCGAGCGCGGGTGGCGGTGGCGCCGCGGCAGCGAGCGGCGGCGGCTTAGATGAAAAAAACAGAATCTCAAAACACATTTTTGGTGTTTTGAGAAAAGTGTTTGATTTTTGTAAAGGAACAAGTCAAAAAAACGCCCCGGTTGCCAAACGCGTTTCATTGTTTTTTTTTGGAAAAAAAAACGAAAACAGCAAAAACACCATGGTATCCAAACGCTCCCTAAAGAAATGCTATAAGCCCATAGCATTTTGAAAAGTATATTTATAGACGCTAATATAACATCGCGTGAATTGGAGTTGAGCATACACAAATAAGAATCAGATCCACTAAAGGATGATATAGTGTAGGGTTGAGATAAAACCAGTTCATCAACGGTGCAACGCTCAGTAGCAGTTCTGTAGTAATTATTGCAGAATTAGAGAGGGGATGGAGGAATTCTTTGTTGTGGGATAACATTTCTTTCATAGAGATATTTCTTGAATCAAGTGTAACGGGAGATATACAAATTTTTGGTAGCATGATGGTTTTCACTATAAACGCTATTTAAATTGAGTATACGAAGGCAAGTAACCAAAATTCAAAGTAATCTCAATACTTGCATAATTTAAAGTTATTTTGAACCTATAGAAATAACACTTGTGTAGTAACCTACAAATACAACATAATAAGGATAACAAATTCTTGTCTTACTGTCTTAGGCTTATAGAAAAGGAAGGAAATAGAGAGAGGTTTTTTTTGGTTGGGAGGTGTGGTGGGGGTAGTTCAAAACTTCATACAAAAGGAAACAGTACGACATGATTATCCATGAGTTAACAAAACAATGAAGAATTAATTAACATAGAACACTTAGCAAATAGTATGACTTAATAAACAAACAGAGATCAAGCTTAAAGTTTCCCGAAGAGTACGAAATCGCAATATTTTATAAAATATAAAACCTTTCTAATATGTAGTACAATATTACCTGTACACTGTCACCACGTCCATGCTTCCGACCTCCCTTCTCAGGAATTGTGACTATCTGTAAAAGTAAGATAGAGATTAAACTTCACAGCAGATATCTGTTTGAGAGTCCCACACAGAACAAACTGTCTTGTAACAATTTTACCCTCTGAAACTTTGATATGCCACTTCTGTTGTTTCGTCTTAAAAATGAAAGAAGAATAACAATATGAATATTCTTGGGTCAAGAAAAATTAGAAAAGCCTCCAGTAACTCACATGAGCAAGCAAACTTAGAGCTCAAAGTTTTGCTTATGGATAACTTTGTAGTCAGTTACCACTGGATGTAATAAAATCCTCAACATACAGTTCAGACCAAAGAAAATAATTATAGGAATTTAGGGAGATTAAGACTCAAAACTGTAAAACGTTTAGTAAAAGGTTTACTAAAAGTTCTTCTAGAATTGGTCATATATATCATACAGAATTCAAGTTTAGAACAACAACAACAACAACAACAACAAAGTTTTTATACCAGATTTCTGTGGTCCGCTAATACAAGTTTAAATCATGGCTTCTGCATTTCCTATTTCAGTGCTGACTAAATGGGAACTTCATCCCATTCAAATTTCAGTTAATTGGTTAAGGTAATAAGCAAAAATAATATGAAAACTACCACATACTTTGGCATCCTAATATGCAGTAGATATTTAACAAAATAATAAAATATCACGTGTAGGTATGAAACCATCCTGTCATGTCTGGACTAAAAACATTGTCTTGAACATTCGAGCTGCAAACCCCTTAAATTCTTTCTTGTTTCAACTAAAATAAATATTTAAATATTAAGAAAAAAAGTAAAGAGGACTCATGACTCACAGTTCCTTCAAGCATCTTCAGTAATGCCTGTTGTACACCCTCACCAGACACATCTCTGCTAATGTTTAGGCTTTCTGCCTGAAAGTGCCAAGTGTTAATGGTTGATGCTTATTTGAAATGTCAATATTTGACGACACATGTAACTAATATTATGAAACCTTTTTAGTTATCTTGTCAACTTCATCAATGTACACCATGCCTTGTTGAGCTGCTTGCACATTGAACTCAGCAGCCTAGAATATATGATGAAAGCAGTGAAAGTTGACTAATAAACATTTCAATCGATTAGCAAAACCAGAAGAATAAGATTACACATGAAAATACATCCAACAACATTTAAAGATAAGATACAAGGAATGTTTTGAAGAAATATAAAATGGCATTGACATAAAGGAGGGTGATGCAAGAAGTAATATTCATATTATTTTTTATTGCAGGCAAGTAATATTAGTATTTATCTTACATAAACTTAATCCTAAAGAAGAAAAACCTCGATGCATTGCTTAATCAAATATATGACGAGCTGGTTAAGATTCAAAATTCCAACTGTAATAAAAGCACAGCTTTGGAAGATCAATCATTTCCTTTTAAAAATTCAATATGATCTTCCCAGGGAAAATGTCCTAGTGCTCAAACTGTTTATCTAAGCCTTTACCCATTCTAACAAAAGATTGCCATGCTATCACCATATCATATGATTCATATCTGTGTTCTTCTAATCCTTGTTAGTCTTGACAGGCTTTAAGAAGAATACAACTGTTGAATGTTAATACCATAATGCATCACAATTTTCCCCAACTTACACCAGAGGATAGCATAAAATATGCTTATAATGGTTTCATCTCCTAAGACCACAACAAAGTGTCAACATAGATTACTACTTGAAGGGATTAATGTAGTGTCATCAAATCTACCCTACAAATCTATTCATTCAAAGAAAAATAATCCAATAAGTTATCTCTGAAAATTCTTTATAGTGCTCTTTGAAACTGAAAGTTACAGAATGTCTCACAAAAACTCAACAAATGGGCAGTGCAGACCTATGACTATTGGGCACGCCTAAATCAGGTAGCTCAGCAATTTGAAACTTCCTTATTTCAAGCCTTATCCTCAGGTCACGGCCAACATTATATCATTCCCCATATACAAAATCAGTCATGCAACGCCCCCACTAGTAGCAATTTCTAATTGTGAGGTCCCCACAGAAATCTAGTCTTAGTAGGTACTCAAGAAGCAAGAACAGTGCGCAGGATTGAGCTTCTTATCAGCAAGTTAACATCTCAAATATATGTCAGCACTTCCTACAGCATAATTGGATATGTGAACCATCTGGTAGAACTACTTTGTTAACTTTCCTTTTCTCCATCCTCAATATGAAGCATCTACAAATGTCATCGTTCAAAAAGAGATCCTTAGTTTGCAAGGAAGATGAATTGTCACAGGTTTGTGAACATTTGGATGAACCACTCTTGAGGCATTTTTGTCACCTTAGATTGAACTTGCCGAAAAAGTCTATTCTTAACTGTCTAAAACGAGTAATGAGACTAAAAATATCCAACACAGAGGTTACCAAGAACCAAAACCATAATGAAAAAAAGGAAAAAAATCATCTTTATCTTTATCTTTTGTAATACAAGAACTTTTTCAGGATGAAAGGAACAGGATGCTGGCCAAGCCACAAAAATTACCCAAAAATAAAGGAATGAAGGCAGAATGAGCCATAACGATTTGCAGGATTTTATTTTATTTTTTTCTTTCTAACATTGGAAGACTAAAAGATCTTCATGATAACAACTTTTTACATCTTGAGCTAAAAATTTCAACTTTGAGATTCTTTAAAGCAGATGGAAGGAAGGGGTCAAAGAAATGTCACAATAGAGGGTATTGCCATAAATGATAAGAAGCAGTTGACAGTAAGGGGGTCAAGAAGATAGTTTCAGATCATGCATGATATATACTCATCGAGACAGTAAGCAGTACAAAAGTTGAGCTATCAAATCCAACTTTTAAAAAGCGGAAGCACAAGGCGAAGTGTTAAGACCCTTTATTGAAGCGAGGCGTAAGCTTCAAAAGCACGAGGCGTAAGCCTCGTGAGTTTAAGCATTTATGTTAAAATCTATAAAATTATGAACATATAATGTATTGTGATATAATAATTTACAAATAGATAATAGATACATTCATGTCCCAATTAGTAAATAAGAATTAAATACGTGAAGTATAGATGCAAATCACAATAAAATAAGCTACATCCACAGCATATGTATCTTATTTATACCCACATGGTCATAGTGAAGATACATAGATGCAATTTAATGTTAGCAAAAATCATTTTATGTCTTCCTATCTTGTCTAGAGTGTGTGCCTCAAAAGAGAAGCGCTTTATTAAGCGTGAAAAGCACACTTCAGTTATGCTTTAAGCGATGAGGCATAAGCTTCAAGGAATAAATAGCTCCACTCTTGAGTTTTAAAGCGTTTACCCTTCAAAAAGTTTTGAAGCGAGTTTCAAAACAAGTTTAAAAAAAGATTTTTCAAACATTGATCAAATAAGAAGAAAGTCTAAGAACGTAAATTTCTGCTGAAGTCACTAAATTTGTAAAAAAATCTAAAAGCATAAACTTTGTCTCGCATGCTTAGAGTTTGTTTAATATATTGTTAGTCCATAATCCATCAACTCAAAGAATTTGAGTTTCAGATAAAGTCACTAAACTTGTAGAAAATCTAGAAGTATGAACTTTCTTTGATATGCATAGTGTTTACTTAATGTATGTTGTTAGTCCATAATCCATCAGCTTAATCGGTAAGGAAAATTGGTTGTATGCATGATTGCATGGTAACAGAGAACAAGGTGATTCGGATGTGCTGGTTCAAACCTCAGCAACATGGTTGCTTTTCCATGGGAATCCTTTATATGTGCCTTCATCTGGAATTCTAAACCTCGCTAAACATTATTTGCTTTAGTTTGGGAATGGTAGTAACTAATTAACAGGAAAATGTTTTCTTGTTAATTATAGTCGAGAGAAATATGCACACTAGAGTTTATTATGTAAAGTACATCTCATGATGTAAAGCCATCACTCAGATAACAATATTTAACCAACAACAGGAAATCAGCCAGTGAATATGTACAGGAATTTTGGAAATCATACCAAAAGCAACTTGTGCAATATTGACTCAACATCTTCTCCAACATACCCCGCCTGCATGATATTCACCTTCTATTATTAGTAAGCATAGCCAGGCCAAATGAAAAAGGGAAAGACTGAACTCAGACTGGCAATAAGGAAAAAGGAAAAGAAAAATAGACATATCAAACAAATTCAGATCATTTTTTTGTGAATTCTAGCACACTGGATGCAAATCTTTCTTTCGTTTTATTTATTTGAGAAAAAGACCAACCTTGAGGTAGCGACATGACACCCTAAGATCAAATCTATTGAAGGACCAAAAGCATGTGTGCATACCACTGGAAACAAATCAAATCGAGTACAAAGGTGTTTGCATTTGTTTAAAATGTTAAATTTGAATCCATATTCAAATATCCTTTTTCTGAACTTCTTTGAATACGATTTAGTTCTTCGAATATTCAGAAAACTTTTATTTAATATTAAAGTATATTTATTCAATAATTTATAATTTATAGTTTATGAATATTATAAAGATTTATTTGAAAAATCAATTTCAGACTCTTTAAGCATCTCAAAATTAGTACAAAACTGAAAGTAAAATATAATTCGTTAATATTTGAAAATTTATCTGATCAACTTCCAGCCCTCGGGTAGGATGTGCAAAAAAAGATGAATGGAGTTTGTACTGATTTAATTTATAGGACGAAAATGCAACGCGTAAATGAGTAATTAATAATCAAATGAATCGAATATGCATCTGGTTAAATTCTATTCGTTTAAGAATCAACTAAAAATTATTTGTTTAACATTAAATGAACTATCAAATCAAATGTAACCGAATAATTAGACAAACAATTGATGAACTAGTTGCTGATTATTTAGTTCATTTCCACCACCAGGCATACAGTGGCAAGCTGTAGAAAGGTTACTTGTCAACAACTGAATCACTTGTCACCAGATAAACTCCATGGATCCACCAAAATGAAATAGGATTTTTGCAATATTAATCCCCAAAATCTTCATATTTTGATATTAGTCACTCATTATTTTGAAATTAGTCCTACAGATCTTCATAGTTTGAAATTAGTCCCCCTAACCCCTTTAAAGTGTTTAGAAATTTTAAGGCACAAATTTCAGAACATTTGACATATTTTGGGGTGTAATTTCAAAATGCATAACATATTTGGGGGACTAATTTCAAAAATGAAAGAATTGTGGGACTTATTCTAAAATACTAAAAGATTTAGGGGACTAACTTCAAAATATGAAGATTTAAGGGACTAAGTTCAAAATATGAATGATTTGAGGGACTAATATCCAAAAACCCCAATGAAATAAAGATAGAAAACTTTAAATGTTTGGAAAATCATATCTATTTATATGTAAGAAGGCATCCTAGAAATCATTTATATGGACTTGCCTGAGTTAAAGTTGTTGCATCTGCAATAACAAATGGCACATTCACGAAGCGAGCCAATGTCTTCGCAATTAATGTTTTCCCTGTCCTTACAGATAAAAATGGAAACTAGTAAAAGTTAGAACTCCAATGTAACAAATTTCCAGAGAGGATGAAATACAAAAATGTCATCCATGGCAAGGTAGCAGCAACCTATCAATATTTAAAATCAAAATGCAAGCATTGTACCTGAGCCAGTTGGACCCATCAGGAGTACATTACTTTTCTCTAGCTCAACATTCTCATTGTCTTTGCTTTGAGAAAATTGACCTGCATCATCTGCTAACCTGAATATTGAATCAGCATAGATTCAATTAATTAGAAACAGATCCAACTATGAAAATAGAAGTTCTGAAAACCTAGAATTGCATGTACCAAGATTTATATAATTCCTTCAACATTTAAATGTCAATAAAATCAATAAGAGGACAACCCACACCAGAAACTTACACAAAACCGAGTAGATAGAAGGGTCATACGCAAACTAACCCTTTCTGTAAGGATGCATGGTAGATTCTCTTGTAATGATTGTAAACAGCCACAGATAGCACCTGCAACAACAGTTTCAGTGCAATAGCTAAGATAAGATTCAAAAGAATAAAAGATATGCTGAAGAGTTGAGTCCTTATATCACTCAGAAAAGACCAAGGACGTTAGGAATAGAAATAACATTACGAGACAAAAGCAGGAATATATGATGCAATGTTTTTAGTTTTCACTACCGAACATCAATGATTAACAGTGAGTATAGATATGATCACTGTAAACATCAAAGCTCACAAGTTCTAGCTAAAGTATGAAAGCAGCATTGTGGCTTCAGATCTCAAAGATAGTAAGTTCTTTTTTTCTATAGAAGAAGGAATATACAAATAGATTCTATATAAATTCCACAGGCTGAAATCTAGATGGTGAGGAAAAAATCAAATAAAGAGGATTTAATGTATAGATGGCCAAAAAATGGTACTTTTCAGTAAAACAGAACTATCAAAAATCAACATGAGAGCCTAATAATGGGATGAAACAAGCTCACAATAGAAGCTCATGATTACCACACAATAGATTAGCAATAAATGTGAGGTAAAGCTTATAAATAAGGAAAACTTATATCTTTTCTGTAATAATACGCCTCTTAGCACATTTCTGCAATTAAATAACAACAATATAAAGAAAGACCTCAAGGTGTTGCCGATCAGACGATAGAGCATGGATTTCCTTATAGTTAACCATATATATTTTGAATAATTTGCAACTTCAAAATCCAACGTGGCATTTCAAAAAAACATCAAAGCTCACAAGTTCTAGCTAAAGTATGAAAGCAGCATTGTGACTTCAGATCTCAAAGATAGTAAGTTCTTTTTCCCTATAGAAGAAGGAATTTACAAATAGATTCTATATAAATTCCACAGGCTGAAATTTAGATGGTGAGGAAAAAATCAAATAGAGAGGATTTAATGTATAGATGGCCAAAAAATGGTACTTTTCAGTAAAACAGAACTATCAAAAGTCAACATGAGAGCCTAATAATGGGATGAAACAAGCTCACAATAGAAGATCATGATTACCACACAATAGATTAACAATAAATGAGAGCTAAAGCTTATAAATAAGGTAAGCTTATATCTTTTCTGTAATAATACGCCTCTTAGCACATTTCTGCAATTGAATGACAACAATATAAAGAAAGACCTCAAGGTGTTGCCAATCAGACGATAGAGCATGGATTTCCTTATAGTTAACCATATATATTTTGAATAATTTGCAACTTAAAATCCAACGTGGCCTTTCAAAAAAGTTCTCACACAATCTCAATGAAGGTCGAGTTTCACTAGCCTAACTTACAAATCGGAAAGAGGAGGTTCCCTTAACAACTAACCTAACCCCAACCTGGGTAGTTCCAATATGGAGCAGTACCCATACCTAACACATGTCACACTCATACCCATACCTGCTTGGACACTCCTTGAATATATGCATATTTATTTAGACTTGTACTCAATTATAAAACGCATGTTTAATTTAAAACGCTCATCATACACTTCTTTGATATATATCCTACATCTCGCATCCATTTTTATAACTTGTTAGATAAGGGTCGAGTTCATTTCAGCCTTAAAAACTACAAGTTTAAAGAGTCATTTACATATATAGCCCAAAACTATGATTATATCCCATGAGTTTCAGTCGTGTCCCTATAACCTACATTTTACAAATTTGACGTGTCAAATGCCCATACTCGTACATGCACCCACACCCATACATGTAACTTAGATTTGCAACAAATAATAAGACAAATTATTTGATCATTGATTTTACCAATCAAACGGGAAAAGAGTCAATTGTTTTATATGCCCAAAAGTTAATTATTTCATATGGCATAATTGGTTCCTAAAACAATAACCACAATGGACGATTGAAATTTAGGAAACTAATGTTGAAACAGTCAAACCAACCTACAAAGAAAAGGTATTTCCTTACTCATCCTCTACTAGGCTCAAAATTAAACCTAATGTGATGGAAAAAAATTCCCCTTGAACAAACTTAGTAAAAAAAATCCTTTTAAACTAAATATATAGATAGATAATATAGCTATCTTCCTCCCAACATGCCGAACAACGAAAAATTCAATGAAGAAAAAAAAAACTAACATAGATTCCTCTAAAACTAAAAATATATACTATGACTATATTTGTTGAAATGAAAATTAAGAGTTGTTTGAATTTTTTCAATATTAGTTCTCCGAATCCTTCATATTTTGAAATTAGTCCTCCAAATATTCATATTTAGAAATTAGTCTCACAAATATTTAAGTGTTTTGAAATTGCTTCCCCCAAATCTTCACATTTTAAAATTAATCTGCCATATCTTTCAATTCTTTTAAAATTAGTCTCTCTAATTAGCACCAGGTTGAAAGATATGGGGGACTAGTTTCAAAACACTTGAACATATTTGGGGAGATTTATTTCAAAACTTGAAGATTTGAGGGACTAATTTCAAACATTTAAAGATTTTGAGGGACTAATTCAAAATATAATGATTTTGGGGACTAATAACGAAAAAGGTCTTCATTATTACATCATTATTACTATTGTTATTTTGGAAACATTATCCCTCCGATCTACTTTATACCATCTTTTAGCTTTTGTATGGCATGCAACATCACCTCTACATCAACACTATCAAAAAAATTAACAAGTGTTTGGTTTGAATGGGTAAATTAGTCGGGGATCTGACACTAATCCTCTCATACCTGATCCACGGTATTAAATGTACATCAAAGGCATCCCAACCTTTTGATCCATGCATGAGTTTCAAAGTCCAACGATCCAAGGGTTAATGTCCCTTTGGTGCTCATTTAATACCATGGACGAGGGCCCTCCTTCCATATGCCACTTCACCTCCAATCCCATCTCTTCCCTCTTTTCCAAATCCCCAACCACCCAATCAACTCTCTCAAATTTCCAAACATTGCACGGATAACAAACTAGTAAATGAATAGCTTGCACATTCCCAATAATTCCCAATCCAACCTTTCTCAAGCCATTTTATACAAGGAGGGCAAGTTCAGTAATCTAACCCTGTCAGTTGAAGGGGGGAAAGGTACCTTCTTTGCTCTGTCCTGTCCAATGACAAACTTGTCCAGCCCCTTAACAATCTCCTTCGGCGTCGGCAAATTCTTCCCCAAATTCGCCCCACCGCCCCAACTCTCAATCCCCTCCTTCCCGTTGCCCCCATTCCCTCCCCTCCTCACCTTCACCACCTTCATGCTCGCCACCCCAACCATCCCATCCTCCAGCTTCACCGTCAGCCCATTGCTGTTCTGTGCGCCCGGCACCGCCGGCCAGCATCGGCAGTCCTTGCGGCGGCTCGCCCGAGCTTCAACGCCTCCCCCCAAAATCCAGGATTGTCCTTCCTCACCGATCTCAACGAAACGTTCCTCGAGAGGCGACAGCCTTGCTGGGCTTGAAGAGCGTCAGAGCTAGGTTTTGCATTAGGGCCAGAGGTTGTATCAGCAGATGTGGGGGTGAGGGAGGCCCACGAGGTCCATGCTCTTCGAAACAGCGAGGCGCAGTTGCGATTCGGCCTTCAATCGGCGGCTATTCGGGGTCACGCGAGCCTCCGCCTCCGGAAGAATCGGACTTACGGCGGCCGCGTGCGAGGTGTGGTCGTGGTGGGAGGGAGCCGGCAGGAGTGGACGGAGGATGGCCGGTTGTGCGTTCTGGCGTGTAGATCGAGCGGTGCAGACAGCTTTTTTGAGGCGCCAAGAATCGCTCTTACGCAGTCCTAATGGAGTTTGAAGAATCCCGAGACATGGCGGCATTAATGAATGAATTGAATTCAAGAGAGAAGAAGAAGAAGATGGGTCAGGAGGCTGAGGGGCGATGGAGAGAGGAGGAGAGACGATTCAGCAAAGAGTGTGGGCGGTTAACTGTGAAGGAATGTCGCTTTAATAAGATCCACCGCAAAACGTGCGGGCCGCCACAGTAAGAGTGTACTTTGCAGATGGCGTGCATCTGAGCGGTGCAAATTGGGAGAGGAGGCAAAGAAGGGAGGGATTGTGGTAAATTACGGGATAAGGTAGCGCCGAACGAGAATCCGAGTTTGTCGTGGGAGGGATTGAGATTAGTGAGTGCTTTGTGGGGGGGGGTGGTTCGATTATGAACCGTTTAATTAATGAGCTTGGTCTGCCTCCTTGATTGTCGCTAGATGGTGTTATGACTTGGCGGACTTCGTTTTCTTCGTGCTGACTTGGATAACCGTCAATGGAGTGGGGATGGACGTCATAGAATTTCGCGAGGAACGGATAAAAAAAATACAATGATTTTTATTCACATAAGATGCTATACTTTGCCAATAAGGTGTTATACTTTGTCAATAAAGTGCTATACTTTGTAATATAGTGCTATACTTTGGCCAAAAGGTGCTATACTTTCCCATAAGGTGCTATACTTTACCCAGAAGCTTCAAAATTGCACGAGGACCCCCCGTCGTGGTGGATGATTGGTCAATAACACGTGATGTAGGTCGTCGAGTGGTTTCGTCGCGACGAAAAAAACCGATTTGATTTTAGGCACTTAAGCTGCAGAATTTCCAGAAAGTATAAGGTGCTATACTTTTCCAATAAGGTGCTATACTTTGTTAATAAAGTGTTATACTTTGCAATAAAGTACTATACTTTGGTCAAAAGGTGCTATACTTTCTCATAAGGTGCTATACTTTGCCCAAAAGCTTCAAAATTGCGCGAGGACCCCCCGTCGCGGTGGATAATTGGTCACACGACACATAACGTAGGCGAATATAATATAACACCTTTTCTATGTAACAACGTCAACTCTTATACATAAAACATGACATTTGATATCGCTGAACCTACACATGAGACATATATAAATGTTGCACATCAACCAAATATCGCAAAATTATCATATAGCACTAGTTTTGGAATAGAACAATACCATGAGCTATGAATGTACACATTTGATACAAAATACAAGATCCGAAACACATTTCATAGACATATAACCACTGGTGACCCTTATAACATGCTTCCAAAATAAAAATATCTGATACATGATGAATCATATTAATCTGAATACTCATATATCCTCAGTACACATGCATACTTATGTTATAAGTATACAGACTAACATAATATTAAAAAAAGAAGACATCTTCAATACAGATAATGTTCCAAATATCATTTCACTTTCTTCAGTGTTGTTTCCCCTAACTACTTTAGCTGCATCAGCAAGCTTGTCAAGGCTCTTGTGTTGCAACATAATAAACATCTCCATGGGTTTCCTTCGAAAGGAACCGCGGTTCTTCATACATAAGATTGGTGGTAGGTAGATCTTCAATGAATACATCATGTTCTAACTCTTCTCAACCAGTTCATAAAAACATACCTGGAAAAAAGACCAAAATTAGTACGCTCATACTAATAGGTAAACAACAAAAAATACACATTATCGTATCAAATATCCGAAGCAAGCAATGAGCAAACTGCTAACATGTTTACACTTCTAGATGAGGCGCTTCGGAGTTTACTACTTTAAGGCTATCAAGGCTATCCAATTTCTAATTATTCCTCAATAAAGAAACATGTTTTAAACAATATGGAACCTCTAAACAAAAAGATGTAGGGACTTAGAATAATTATTTCCCAGTTCATGATAAAATTAAAACTCTTATAATTCTTACAGACTCTCATGAAAAAAATGAACATCCATAATACAATTACTGAAAATATTTGAAGAAAGTTAATCAAATAAACAAATAGCAAACAAAACCCAAATAAATACAAATTACAACAAAGATCTCTAAACATGATTAAAAGAGCAGGATAAAATTAGAAACCGCCATCAATTTCAGTTGCTTTCAGTAACACAAGTCTCATCTCCTACAATGTACATACAAATTACAACAAACCACAGAGATCTCTAAACTCAGAGGAACTCAATAGCTCACAAAAATTAAAAATTGAAATCTTAAATTAGCATTGGAATCAAACCTAAAAACTCCTCTAGGCCTCCAACGAACCCTAATGTTGCCAACTTGAAGCAAAACCCACATAAAAAAAAGGGGTTTTCACATTCGGCGGCCTCCCCCTCCCCTTCTTAACCCCGACGACCAATGCAGCTGTCGTCATCGGCGACATCACCACCTCATCCGCCTTGTCCTTCATCGGCTTAGGATTTTTGAGGTTTGAGAATCTCCTCTTAGGGTTATGAGAATCGATTATATCTGGGGAAATGAAACGAATGAGAGAGATATCGTTGTTGTATTTGGGGATGAAGGGCAATTTAGGGATTTTTATTTTATTAGGAAAATACAGTATAAAGAATGAGTGAATTATACATATTGGGTTTAAAAATAAATGGCATGAGATATTTTGGGTTTATGAATGTTTATATAAGTGGGTGGGTTTTTAAATAAGTGAGGGTAAAATTTTGGGTTAAAAGAGAAAAACCCCTAAAAAAATACAATGATTTTTATTCACAGTTGGGTGCAGAGGCGTCACACGTGGTCAGATATTATTATTTTTTTAGGCTTATTTCTTTGTTATAACCTCATTGCAAAATAGTTTATATTTACATAAAATGTATTGCAAAAATCATCTCCAATGTTCACACTTTTCTCGGTAAAGCCCCCATTGTTATTATTTCAAAATGTAAAATGACTACCTCCAAGTAGTAAAAGGATGCCCCAAGCCACTTATGGTGGTCAGAAAACACCATCGATTGTTTTAATTCGAAGAAACCCTTTTAGTTTTGAGGGTGTTGTAATAACCCCTCTTGATTTTGAAAATTTTATTTAACCCCCTCAAATATAGGATTTCTCACAAGCCCTAAACTCTGCACTTTTCTCGGCAAATCCTATTGACGTTGTTACTTCAAAATATAAAATGATCTAAATACCCAGTGCAATAAAAAAATTTAATCTCCCAACAAATTAAATTTGAATTACCTAATTAAATTTAGTATTAAATTCTAACTTATAAAAATGTAAAAGTTTCGTTGGTTAGATGAAAATTTTATCCCTTTTTTTTTGGTGATCATGGACTAACATGGGCATGGATGATACCACAACAAAGTGAATCAATTAACCTTTAATTTATAAATAAACGCGTTTGGAGGGCTTAGATGAATTTTTTTTGTGGCTGATTATTTATCTAATAGGTTCCTGTTAGGAGAGAGGTGCATGAGTAAAGTTTGCGTACATAACCGACCATGCTTAAGGCAAGTCCATGTTATAGGATAGAAACTTGTTTGATTATAGGATTTTTAACGAAGGATTACACTTTCAAATAAACTAATACATAGATTGACCATGGATAAAATTAGTTTAGAATTTTTCATTTCATATTTTTATCACTTATAAATAGCACACAATTCATATTTATATTCTTATTAAACATTTTAACTATGATAAGATAACAATTTAATAACCAAAAGGATCAAGGGTATCTTTGTCCAGAAAAAGTTTTCTCAAACTCCCACTTTAAAAGGGTGTATGATGTATAATGTGATATATGATATGATATTTATTTGTGATTGTGGACTAACATGGGAATTGGGATCCTCTCCTAATGAATCCTCTCCTAATATCTCCTAATAAGAAGATCTTGGCCTTTGATTTATCAATCAAAGATCAAGATTTTATCCTTATCTCCCCCCTACTTTTGTGCATGAGGAGATCTTGGCCTTTGATTGATAAATCAAAGGCCAAGATCTCATTAGGAGATATTAGGAACCCTCTCATTAGGAGAGAATCCGGATCCCTAACATGGACGAGTTTAGCAAAGTGGATCAATTAACTTTTAATTTATATATAAAAAAGTTTGGAGGACTTGGATGAATATTTTCTATAGCTAATTATTTATTTAATAGGATTTCTATTAGGAGAGAGGTACATGCATAAAGTTTGCATACATAACCGACCATGTTTAAGGTAAGTTCATCTTATAGGTTAGAAACTTGTTTGATGACAGGAATTTTAACTAAGGACTATATTTTCAAATAAATACATAGGTTAGCCATGGGTAAAATTAGTTTACGATTTTCCATTTCATAATTTGATCGCTTGTGAGTAGCGCACAATGCATATTAATATTCTTATTGAACGTATTAACTATGATAGGATAACAATGTAATAATCAAAAGCATCAAGGATATTTTTGTCCATGCTCGTACTTTTAAAGAGAGTATGATATGATTTCAAAATAATTCCCTAATAAATGATACTTTTTTTTGAAAAGGCGGGTAGGGTAACCTAACCAACCAAGTCCTCAACAACACTCTATCTCAAAAACAAAGGGACAGAAACAGACCAAAAACAAAAGGACAAACAGTC